AGCACAAAGGAAAGGCGGTGGAGTCAGTGTGTTTTAAATAAAGCATGTTGTGGCTGTGTGTGTGTAGGGCCATCTGAATGACAGACTGGAGTGTGTTAGCGGCGGGTCCCGTGGTGATCCTCTTCCCGACCCACACTCCCCGTTTCTCTCTTTTTTTTTTTGGTGCGTGATCGCTGCGGCTGCCGCTGTACGCCATTTCAAATGCACCACTAACCGCCCCGTTATCGCCGTCTCGGCCTGTAATGAGAGGAGAGACATATGTCCGGTCCCCCTGCTGTTCCCTGATAAGCGCTTGCATCCAGACGCACAGAGGAGCACTCCTCCACCTCCTCCTATTCGTCTCTGTGCTTTTACTTTGCATGCAAACCCTGCTAACAACCACCAAGGAAAATGTGTGCCACTTACTTAGTGACATTTACCTCGCTGCTGACTATTCCACGGGGGTGGGTGGGGGGGCACAATAACAATCAGCATGCATTTAATTTAAAAGCAAAAAAATGTTCCCTTTAGAATTACGCAGGCAGGGAGATATAGCTTTCTGTGTACGTGTGTGTGTGTGTGTGTGGAGCTATAACAGTTGTGTCGGCAGACTTCCGCAGTGCAACATTAATGCTAATCAAAAGAGCTGAGAAAGCAGCGGTGGTCTGTAAAAACAGATTTTCTCTTGTCTTGTCATTTGTGGAGGGATTCTCTCTTTCCTCCCCCCTCCTCAGAGGGGTTTATCCCGGGAAAACAGCATTTGTGGGTATCAAATCTGACCCCACGAATTTGAAGGAGGCACATTGTCATGTAAGGCCGGCTTCCTTAGCTCTAGGATAAATAATGAAAGTTAAGTTGTGGTAATTGATTTCTCTTCAGTCCACTCAACTGAATAATCTGCTAGGGAAACAACCACTAAGCTATTCATTAGAAGATTTGCCAACATGCAACTAATTCCGAGCTTATTTTCCAAACATCACGGAAAGAATACAAACTCACAGTCAGAGCTGGCTTGATTTAAAATCCTTTTGTGTTCGGAGGGTTCAAAAATACTCCACTTAAAACCTAGAAACAACCAGGTTTTTCCCCCTCTGTAAACTGAAATAGATCAATCAATCAATCAATCAGTCAAAGCACATTAGGGAAGAAGGAATATTGAGCCCATCCACCTTTTTTACAGCCTTCTTTTATGAATCTGCTTCCAAGTCATTTAGAATCACGTTAAATTCGTCCAATGAGCTCCTGTAGATTGAGGTGACTTTGCAACTGATTCCAAGCAGAGGGGACAGCATACTTAAAAAGTAACTTCTGTATTTTTCAACCTGGACTTTATTTTCTGTGTCTGTGACTAATTGGGGTATCATTTTTTGAAATTGGTCTAGTTTTGAGCGAGCACTCTGCAGTAAGTAGCAGCAAGACAGGGCTGCACTGTAACCCTTGCGGGAAATTGCGCCCCGTCAAAGTACATCAACATTATGGCAAGAATTCCTACAGAGATAGACCTTTTTTAAATAGTAGCGTCCTTTTAGTTTAATCAGAAACAGTTGCTATGGCTCTCGCCAAAGCCAGCAGACTTTTACCTCTCTGGTCTACCACTGCTTTGATTGGTTAGTTTGTGTTATTGGGTGACTTTGTTTTTAACCCTTTAAAACACCAAAGTAGGGCTGGACGATATGCCCAAAAATGTTATCACGATAAAAGGTTTCATATCTTTCGATATCGATAATTATCACGATAAGTATCAAATTGTTATTTCTTTTGATTTTAAAGGCTGATTTTTGCCCCATAGTGAAAGCTGAAGAAACCTGATGGGTAAAAACTAACTGACCGAGGCAGCGGTAGACAAGCAACACCCATGTTCTGAGAAGTAAAATTTCTGTTTTTATCAAAGGAGTGCGGTGGCTTTGACGAGAGCAATACAGTGACTGTTTCTGGTTTAAACAAAAAGGATCTTACTCTTTAAAAACAATGTATATCCCTGTAGGAATCCTTTCCATACTGCAGTGCTTTTGCGCAATACTGAACCAGACCAAATTGTCCCAATTAATCACCAAAACATGGGAAAATAGGGAAAATAAAGTTACCCTTTAAATGCACTTTTTCCAATTCAGTACAGACAGTCCTGGGAGCAAAGACAGTAATTACCCATACTTATTTTGTATGATGTAGATCCATAGATACGAAGGAAGAACAGCCTTATAAATACGAATAAAATTTACTCTTAAATTAAATTTATTCTTGTAAAATAAATTATTTGTGTATTGTGATTTCATGAAAAAGAAGATATACAGTATTTTGGCTACGTGATTCCATGAAAAAGTAAGAGATTTGTTACGTGACTTCATATGTTAATATAAAGATCTTCATTAGTTTTGGGGGTTCTTTAAACATGCAAATTGGAATGTGATTCGATTGAGAGCTATCTGGCAGTTTTCTAGACTTTACACAAGTTTTAGCCACCTGTGGTGATGTGTTCAGTAACAGAATTTATTTGAAGTGTCTGAAACAGAGACAACGTTCGCAATATAACGTCATATTTGAAACGTTCTGTTCTCTTCTGCCAAATGTTGTTTCACCTCTGCAGCAGTATTTTTCGTGGACTTACTGTATTGCACTAATTCCATGTGGGCCAGGCACTTCTTTGTGCATGACATACTGTAAATTACCACAGTTGCACAGAACCAGTAAGAATATGTATATCAATGTGTGTGCAAATGTGTGTTTGCATACATATATACAGTATGTGCTTTGTGTGTGTTTGTGCAGAAGCCTGTAGTTGTGCAAGAACTTTTGCACAAACATTTCTGTTTTCAATTTTTATAAATTTTTACTTAAATACCAAATGAATGATCAATCAATCAATCACCGAAATAACGGCCCTCTCTCTCTGGGAAACCTTTACCAAGAGACCCACCTTACAGCACCACCTGTATTAGCTACTAATGTGTTTCACAGTTATTTCTCAATTTGAATATAAATCACTGCAGTTAAGCTCTTCCCCTCGTGCCAAAACAGACGTGTAGAGACGGAGCTTGATCATCTCAATTACCTTCCTAATCACAGAGTGAGCCAAACAGAAACAGAGAGGCGAGATGCACATTCACAGTTTGCACAGTGAAATCAGAGAGTTTAAGCATGGCGGCCTTAGACCCCGCTGGCTCCGACCTATTATTGTTTACCACTCCTATGAAGATGTCACCACTAGCAATACTGTTTTACCCACTTACAACATTTCAAAGGAGTGCAAAAGGGCCCAAGGGTGCAATGAAAAAAGCTTTAAATATTCTTCAGCGCCGGTCCTCGGGGGAATTGCCCCTCGCCTGAAAAGACCTAATTTAATAAATTTACTCTTTAGGCGTTCATCTTTTCGTTTTGCATCGTCTTATTATGGATTCATTCGCATGCAGCTTTTGGTCTAAATATTGCCCCTCTTAGCTAATGCTTAACCATACATATTTTACTCTTTCAGGAGGACCACCTACATTCGTTTCTAATGCAACTGGGTTCATTAACACCTCAGAGATAATACGGCGGCTGTATGCTTAATGTAAGCACTGCTAAGTCTCTAATTTTCCACAAATAATTCCCCTTGATCTCAAGTAAAATTTATGCAGCAGGGGGGGTAGAGAGCAGCGTGCTTTAACATGGCTGGTCCAAGTAAAGTAAGCATGTACATAAAATGAATTATAAATGGCAGACTGTTTCAAGTGTGGCTAAGAGAGAATAAGTGAGTTTATTTTATTAGAGAGGGAGATAATATATAATAATAATATGTGTGTCACTGATTTTTTCCTGCTTGCACTAGAGACTAGTGTATGCAAGTGTGATTGTGATGTATGTGCGCAACAGAATAGACCAACATGGCATGCCATCATGCCATCAGCAGCAGCAGCAGCATTCATTTATTTTAAATCAAGAAAGAATAAGCAATAAAGACAATCAGAAGGGTTTTCTCCCCTGTGTGTTCAGACCGAACGCAGGGTCATCTAGTCAAGGCCGCAAGGTGACTTTACCTGCGTTGGCGCAAACTGATGTGAGGATGCATCCACAGGAGGAAAATGTTTCAACTTGTGTTCGTGGAAAATTATTAAAGCAATTGAAACAAGAAAAAAGTATGAATCACAGAGAGAAAATAGAGGATCAACAGGTAAAACACTGCCACACTCCCTCAATATGTACATAAAGTGTGGGACACCATTCTGCATATGTAGTCTACAGCTGTGAATGATTTGCCTTCGCACTAACTTGAGCCCTGCAGTTACCCTGCTCTTACCCTCTTGTTTGGAGTGGAGATGCTGTTAACACTCTGCAGCAACAAGCCTGATTGCGACTGATGGGACCAAATGATTCAAATCATCCAAGATGTTTTAGTGTGTGTGTATACTGTGTCAGTGTGAGTATGTTTACATACAGTATGTGTTCAAAGGTGTATCCTGAGATACTTTCTCTTCTCCCTACTTTTAGTGTGTCACACAAATAATCAGCAGCTGACAGGGTGGGATTTTACTCTGTTGGGTCATCATCAGTCTTTTTAAGGTATAAAATGTTACTTAGACTAGCCGCCAGAGAAAAGCAGGCGAGGGCCTTTAGGGCCATTATGAGTCACCCAGAGAACCTGATCTTGAGAGGGCATAAAAGTGTACCGGCGAGTGCTGGTACTGCTTATCGGTGAGTACAGGCCCACATAAAGCACTAGTAAGTTGTGCAGATAACAGTCTGTATCATGTGACATTAACATGGTACTATAGCAGAGTTAAAGTATGAGTAATGCAGCAGTTGTGTCTTGTGATCTGTGCTAGATTTTGCGTTCATGTGATTTATTCCAATGCCTGTACTGCCCTCAGGGATCCACATTTTGGCACAACGTTGGGACACACACTAACTTAGTGTGCAGTAGAATGAGCAGTGAACAGCACCACCCACAGCAACTCAAAATTCAACAGTAACTCCAAAAAAAGACGTGCTTCATGCTGTTTGATTGACATGAACAGAGACTAACACTGATATGTGAAGCAGTGTACCTGGAGCTGTTGCAGGATGTGCGCTCTGGGTTGGACCTGGTGTCTGCTGCAGCTCTGCTCGTAGGCCGCCATTACCTCTGTCAAGGTGAGGCAGCTGTCAACTAAAATAGAACACACTCATTCAGTGCTTTAATGTCTCTGCATCCCAGTGAGCCACCAGCAACCATTCAAAAGTGCTTCAGGGGCTCAGAAATGCCATACGGTAAACTGTGCTGTGCTTTGAGTGTGTGTGTGTGTGTGTCCGTGTGTACAGCAGGGAAGATGGCAGTCGGTGAGGAGTGACAAGGACATGAATGTCTGTCTGAACAATAAATCAACCAATCAGGCATCTCGATTTATCAACCACAGCCTTATGGGATGGATTATTCCAGATGTGAGAGACTACAGAGGATTCTACAACTGAAACACTTTAAACATTTTGATCCTTGTATATCCTTCAAAAGCTGGACTGTGTTTCAATTGTTTACATGGTTTACAAATGTTGCACATGTTGAGGGTTATTACACAAAGACAAAAAAGGGACTGTTCATTATTAATGGGGGTTTGGGGGGAATGCTGGGGGTGTGTGACTTAATTTTTTTGCTTGACCCGCCATGGAGCTACAAATATTTTTCTTTGAGCCTCCCTGAGTGGCTGGGGGAGAATGCTACCCCCCTGTTTAAAGTTCAAAAATAACCCTCAAACGATCACTAATTAAGTTAACAGATTGTATCTCATTTGTTTATATGTACAGAAATGTAAAAATGCCAATTTGTGGTTTTATCATCAGTTACAGAACAATTTTTTGAATATATAGGCGGCAGCAAATGTCAGAGCGATCTGTAGTTGAAGCAAGCAGTAGTTGAAAGAGCTTGCTCTAGACCAACTGAGCAATGTAACCACCTTTCTGCCTTTCTGGCAACCACTAGTATGCATTTATAATTTTTAAACGATTTAGAAAAAATATATTGCGATTATTTTGACAGATATTGCAATGGCGATATGATTTGCGATATTGGAGGGAATGATTTTTTTTTAAAAAATATTCTCATTTTTGGGCTGCTGCAATAAGGACTCAGCCTTAGTACGTGGGCCGCATGCTCTACCAACTTTTTTACCAATTTAATTCACACATTTTGCAAGATTTCGATTAATTGTCCATCCCTAATTTAATTTTGAAACTAACAATAGCTTTCATTCACCAAATATTAATGTAGCCACACACTTGAGTCAGTGAGAATACAGAGAATGTGTATATTCAATTCATGAAAAGTATGCTATATTTTATGGTTATGGTGAAAGGTTTTCAGATTATAGGAAGAAACAGACATTTTTTGCATCAGTGTAAAGGTGACAAAACTCAGAGCAGATACAGATGGCCCAAAGTCACCAAATTGACATCATGATACAAATCGGGTATTAAATCAGACTTGTTCTTAACAAATGTTCACCAGCAGCTTACCCTTTCTGGTCGTGTTCCTGTGCTCAGCAAAGCCGGATACTATCTGTTCATCAGGGGGGAAAGACACATGCTTTTCTCCGTTTCTTCTCTTCTTCTTCTGGTTCTTGTTGGGTTTTTCTGCTCCCTCATCACTGTCACTGCAGCTGGTCATCCCTCTCTTTAGAACTCCACCAAGGAGCTCTCGATAGGAATTTGAAAGCACAGGGTCAGTTCACTTCAAAGCAGCAAACACTTACACACGAGTCAACAGTTGCCATCACCTCCGGGAGCCATGGCAACACTTACTGAAGTAATACTAATGCAAAGATGGAGAAGAACTGTGTGCGACAGTTGATGTACAAACAGTTGTACCATTGGCCCTCTTGGATGTGAAATGCAGCTCGCTCCACTCTGTGATCACTTGGTAAGAAAAGACACGAAAGAAACAATATCTTATTCATGAGTTGTGCACTGGGTTGCAAGTGAAACCCAATATGTTTGTGTCAAATTTCACATTCAAAATAGGTAAGGCTCTGCACATTTACATACCTCTGTAAATTCAGCGTTTACAACAACATTGATGAGCATATATGTAATGAGATGGACAGGTGTGGTATAGCGGTCCAACTCGTTGATCTTTATCTTTTTTATTTTCATACAACCATTATCCATGTTTAAAGCTGCACTACTCAGGAATTCCATATTGACAATAGTTCAAATGATTATGTGTGACAATGATAAATGGGTCGCTCATAGTGACAAACTCAGATCATTTTAACATCACTCATTGGTTCCCTCTATACTTCTGAGCTGTTTTAGCCTATTCAGCTCACTGTTTTGCTTTTCTAAAGCTCCACACCTGTTTTCACTACAATAAAATCAATTGATTTATTGTTAGAAAATAGATTATAACATGTTTTGTTTTTTAGACAGCTTACACTGAGGTCAAGATGTGTCTGAACTTCCCAAATAATTAGCACCAGACTTTCTGTTTCAGGTCAGCTCTTTGGAACTTTTTTGCCTGTTTTTGCTAATTGTTTTGGTCATTTTATCATTGCAGGCAGGTAGTCTGGTTCATGTAAAATAATAATAATAATAATACATTCTGTGACTTGTGACTTTACGCTGATGTTGTATTGTAATCATCAAGGGAAAGACGCTGCCAAAACTTCCAGAGCGAAAGAAAAGCCGTCTGAAGGCTGAACACTGCTCTATGTGTCTCTACATGTGTGAATGAAAGCCATTCTGTACAGCGACTGTAATGAAATGTAAGGAATTTAGTACCCCCCCCCCCTCCCACTTTATCAAACATAAAAGTTTAATATCCATATCTGAGCGCATGACAGCCACATATACTGATGAAAGCAGCAAAATAAAGAAAATATGTTATAAATTATAAGCTCTTTTTTAAAAAAAAATAAAACTGTCTTTAAAAGCGTGAGGGGATTACTTTAATCCATTTTTAAAATTATTTTTTAATGCTTCAAAAGCAGGACAAGATCTACATAAATAATACTTTTCCAGTAGAATATTCAGTATTTGTGGTCATGTTCTCAGTCTCAAACAAAGCTTAACCATGTCATGTGACATGCTTCAGGAAGAGCAAATATTACTGGGACAACTAGAGAAAAAATTGCAGATTAACATTTAATACCCAGGACTTCACATCAGCTACACTGCAAGAGGACCCTGAACTATAAATGAAAACAAGAGTTGATGTTATACTTGAACAGCTTGCTGTATGTTAACTGTGTAAATGAACACATTAGCTTTTATGTTGTATTTGAACAGTACCTGTATTTTTGTAATAAAACATTAACGTGATAATTGTAATTTTCTTCAATCATATAATTTTGGAACTTTTAAAATGTGTTGCTTATAAAAGGTGTACATGCACATGTGCACATGATCAGGACGGTACCACTTCTGCCTCATCTTGAGCCAGTAACACCCCTGTAAGGTTTACATAGGGGACGTTCTGTGTCAGAATCACAGAGTAATGTTGAGCTGAGGTTACAGATGGAGCTGTGTGTTTCCTGATTAATTCTACAATGTGTCTCGTCTTTTATCAGCTGTTGACACGCCAAACAAAAGAACCTGAGGCTACAATCATATTTATCACAAACTCTCGAAGCATAAAAGACAAGTCAACAGCAATGTAAGATGTAAGCAATCCAAAATCTACACAAAGTACACTCCAAGACCGAGACCCCAAGTCGCATTGACATGTTTGTAAGGCATTAAAGTTGCAATCTTTAAAGTCCCTCTGAAATCAAAACTGGAGTGTTTTTATATGATGGCTTATACTATAAGTCACCTACAGTCATGGCCAAAAGTATGAGCATCCCTGCATGTCTGTCACATAATGCACTTCTTCTCCCAGAAAATTGTCACAATTACAAATGCTTTGGTATTCTCATGTTTATTTATTTTGTTTGCACTGGAACAACTCAGGGCAAGCAGGGAAAAAAGCCAAATCTGAGACATTCCACACAGAACTCTAAAAATGCACTGGACAAAATAATAATAATAATACTAATATATTTCTAAATCTCTAGAAATAATTGTATTTCAAGCATGTGATGATTCTTTAATTTGTAATTAAACTCACCTGTAGCAATTCACAGGTGCTGGCAATATAGAAATCACACTTAACCAGTTCAAGTGCAGAAAGGTTGACTCAGCCTTTGTGTTGTGTCTGTATGCACCACACTGAGCACTGACAACAGAAAGAACAGTAAAGAGGGACAATCTCAAGACTACAAGTCCATCTCCAGAGATCTTAATGTCCTGTGTCCACTGTGCGCAACATTGTGAAGAAGTTTACAGCCCATGGCACCGGAGCCAATGTGCCTGGATGTGGACGAAAGAGAACAATTATTGAAATATTGCAACAAAGTATAGTTAGAATAGTGGATAAAGAATGTCGATCAACTTCCAAGCAAACTCAGTCTGACCTGCAGACGCAGGGTACAACAGTGTCAGCTCGCACTATCAGTCGCCATCTGAATAAAAAGGCACGCTGTGGTGGGAGACCCAGGAGGACCCCGCTGCTGACACCGAAACAAATCTAACCTAAGGAAGCCAAAATGTCCAGTGGACAGATGAGACTAAAATGTAGCTCATCATTCTTCTGTTTTCAGACAACGAAATGAGGCCTTCAAAGGAAAGAACATGGTCCCTGCAGTCAAACATGGTGTTTGGGGTTGCTTTGCTGCTTCAGGCACTGGATGTCTTGGATGTGTGCATGGTATTATGAAATCTGAAGACTAAGAAAAGAGAGAAAGAATTCTGAGGTGCAATGTAGGGCCAGAAAGTGTCAGAAAGCTGGGTTTCTGTCAGAAGGTTTGCAGCAGGACAATGACCCAAAGCATACTTTACTCATACTACCAAAAGAGTTCTGAAGAGTCCAGATCTAAATCCCATAGAGCACCTCTGGTGAGATCTCAAAACAGCAGTTGGGAGAAGAACCCACCAAATCTCAAAGACCTGCAGCAGTTGGCAAAAGAAGAGTGTTCCAAAATTCCAGTACAGAGGTGTAAGAAACTCACTGATGGTTACAGGAGGCGACTGATATCAGTTATTTTCTCCAAACAGTGTGCTAGAAAATAATTTTGTCCAGTCCATTTATGGAGTTCTGTGTGGAATGTCTCAGATTTGGCTTTTTTCTCTGCTTGTTCTGTTCTTCCAATGCAAGTAAAAGAAATAAACATGAGAATATCAAAGCATTTGTAATTGCAACAATTTTCTGGGAGAAGTAGTGCATTATGTGACAGACATGCAGGGGTGCTCATATTTTTCTTCATGACTGTATATCAATCACCCTTGTACTAGACAAAAAAGTTGTTTTGTGTGTATTCTTAATGGTATTTTAAAGTTTTCCAGGAAAATAATAAAAACTGACTGACTCATCCTGCACTGGGGGGCATGTATGTATTTAGCGTCCATTGAAAAACTTTCTCAATTTTTACCACGCCGCTGGAGCATCACCAGGCTTCACTGATTACTGTACAAGCACACAACTTTATTCACTGATTTGGGTGAAATCTGTGAATACTTCATAATAAAAGTCAACTTGTGTTTCACCAGTTAAATATATTTAATGTGAAACTGCAGCAGTAGGAAATTTGCATTAGCAGTAATGTCGCCACAGACCCAGTTTGTGATACTACAAGTATATAAATGTTACAATACTTTCATCAGTATTTACCTCATTCAGCGAGAGATAGTGGCTGAACAGACATTTATTTAAATGAAGATCTTTGATATTGTTACTTTAACAAGATACAAATTTAATCAAGCGCATTGTAGTGCAGAATCTTCTGCAGTGTTTCATGGACAGGAAAGAATGAGAATGACAACAGATAGGTCTCACAGTGATTTTTGTATTCTGCATGTAAAATTCTTATAAACTTTTTCTTTAATAGCAGTAATGATGTCATACTCACATGTATCACCGCGATTCCCAGTGCGTTCAGCTGGCCTTGACTCGATCTCTCTGATGCAACAAGACAGTGGGATTCACAGCTGGCCCTTGCTCAACTTCCTACAGCTGCACTTGTGTGTTTTCACCCTCGCTACTCTCACTGCAAGACAAAACATCTGTAGTTCAAATTGTTAGATTACCAACCCTTTGACTAGGTTAACCATGTGGCAATTAGTTGATGATGATTTGATTAATAGCACATTAATCTGTATCCACTACTTAAGCACTTTCATCACAACCTAATCATGAGGCCACATCATGTAAAGGAGTAAGTTCAAATCTACTTTAAAGTCCTTTCTTTATTTAAACATTTTTTGAAATATTACTTTGCTTATTCAAGTTGCCACTAAAATAATTATTATTTTCTAACTGTTACATACACAGTGCACATAGATTTTGAGAGCTAGGTGGGAAAATGACAGCATAACACACATTACTTTATAAGCTCGTTTAATAAAAATAACAATACTAACACTAATGCCTTTGAAAAAGCTTGAGGGGTGATTTGTGGCTTTATTTTGCATGTAGAGTGTGTTGATACAAACACTGAAATTGCTGTCATATTTGACGTGCGCTTGTAGCGAGTGTAAATACAACTTGGGTGTTGAGCCTTCTTCCTTACGTGTGCAGGAAGCACAGCACGTCCGCACTCCTCTGCCGCGCTGTACGCAGTGTCATCGACCAATAGAATAGCAAAGTGTCATGACGCCACTTCCTGACCGGTGGCTTTGCGGGAAGTTTGGTCCTCACACAGCTAAACGTAGAGTCAACACCAAACAACACAGTCAAGGTGTGTATTCATGTTATGGTTTAATGAAACGTTGAAGGGGCTGTTTTTACTGACAGCGTCGCAGATATCTAAGAGCTTTTTGCTTTAAACGGCGTCATGTAACGTAGCAGCTAACGGGAGGCGTCGATGCTAACGAGACAGCGCGGTTAGCTTGATGGCGAATCTACATTTATAAAAACGTTTTCCGGCTCACCACCTAACGTAGCGCCTCTCGACCTGCTCCGCCTGTAAGCGCTTTTTATTTTAGGGCAGGGGCTGTTATCTTTGCGCTACACACGCTGGTAATGAACTTAGTGGTAACGTAACTAAAGCTACAGCGCGTTTAAAGTAAGTACGTCGTTAACGTTAGCTAACTTCGCTAAGTTCGTAAATAGAAGAACACGACATCCATGTAGCATCAAATATGAAACCTCATAGTTCTTTATGTTTCGATATGCTCAAATCGGGTCATATGAGAATTCGTTGGGATGCTCGCTATGTAACATACGTCAGTATCCAGCATAGCATGTCACTGAAGCCTTGATGACTGTGCGTTTCAGATGCCTCCTAAATCCAAGGCGGCAGGGAAAGGCAGAGCTCCAGCTAAGAGGAAGCTGGCTGAGGAGTTCCCACCCGGAGAGGTCCTGACTGACACTGGGAAGAAGGCTTGGAAGCTGGGGGCTCCAATCGGCCAGGGGGGCTTTGGTCTCATATATTTGGGTAAGAGTCGATGGAATGCTGATGACGCAGTTCAAAAGTCAACTATAAATGATATGACTGCATTTGCATCATTACTTCTGAGACAAAAGTTCATGTCTGAACTCAGACTCAAGGCACCGACGTTTGTAATAGTTAGATATGTTATGTATTTAAATCCAACAATGTACAGTACAAGATATAACCTGCAAAGTCTGACATTGCAATTATATATATTATATATTTTTAAGTACTACTAAGTATTGAAAGTATTCTTTTTCTTGATCCCCAGCTGATGAGAATTCTGCCAAACCTGTAGGTGAGGATGCTCGCTATGTCATCAAAGTGGTAAGACCCCCAAAAAACTCAAGACATGATCTGAAATGTTTTTCCTTTCATATACTATATGTACACATCCCTAAAAAGCCATATAAGATCTCCTAGAAACAAACATAGCCATCTTCCCTGCCCAGCGTCGCTCCTTATTTAATGCAATCTCCTAGTTTAAGGCAGTGGATTAGCTGTAGTTTCCTACCTTTACAAAAAGGACATACAAATGGACAAATCAAGCGAAATAAATTTTATACAGTAATATTCCTCAATGTCCCTTGCACTCCAAGCCAACATCGGCTGCCCCCTGTGCTTCTGTCTGTATTGTGGTTTGTTCACTGTAGCCTGTCATGGTGCTTTCAGACCTGAAAGCGAATCGAGCGTTTGGGGTGGTGAGTTTACGTACAAAGTCAATGCAAAGACGCGTAGAGCCGCGATTTCCTTTTGGGCAGCGCAAAACAATGCGAAGGGGGCGGTGCCGGCGACGCGAAGCGAAGGCACCACCACAGGTTGAATAGTTTCAACTCGCATGACGCTGAGCCTGTCAGCGTTGATATTGTCCGTACGTCACTGACAGCTTCAGAGCGTTGTGTGGAGAGGGCCAGGCAGAGCAGGCGATTGAAAATCTGCTGGCCGGCGAAGAGCTGCTAAACTTGGGAGAGAGGAGCCGGGAGCAGTGCTCCAGCTTTTGGACTAATAAACACCCGTAGTCGGACTGGATTATGCTCCTGACAACTTCGCTGTTTGCTTGTGGGAGGAGCTCGGAGGAAACTGCTTTTATTAAATTAGCTTGTTACTTTAGTTTTTGGGATTACAACGTTGATTTATCTTCACTGGAGCTTCTCAGCAGCTAGCTTCTGTGCACATCCGGTTCCAGTGTTGTTAGCGTTGTTAACCGGACAAAACTGGACATTGCTGGGAGAAAAGAAAGCGAGGAGGTTGAACTACCTGGTGAGTTCAGAAAACATGTGTATGTAACTTTAGTCCAGCTATCATTGTACTGTACTGTGACCAAGTTAGCATAGCATAGCCCTGATCGATCCGAACTCCATTCAGAAAACAAACATTTTAGAAGTTGTTGTCCTGCTGTCTTGCTGACAGACCTGACAAAGCATGAATTCATATGTTTAACAAATCTGCATCATATGACCCGTTTATTGCTATTTAATCACAGCAAATTGTTTACTTTGGGTTCATACAGCTGTAGTAACGGTGAGTTGTGTTTATTCCGGGTTTATTCGCGTTGTGTGTGAACACTCAGCACTTGTCCATCGATAAAACTCCTGTGAGGAGAGCGTTGCGTGGATTACATTCGCATATGGTCTGAATGCCGCATTAGTGTTGCAGCGCTGCTCTCTCCGTGACAGCCGTGCTCTGCAGTGATGTTCTTACAAGGATTTGGCAAAATAGAAGGATTCTCTGAACTCCGACTGTAGCAAATCTGTTCTCTCTCCTCTTATTAGCTAAGCTTAGTGTACCATACTTTCAGGTAGCTGCTTCTCACTCCACAAAATGACACAGGTCATATAAGCTGTCACAAATTAACATCAATTCAAAGAATTACTTCATGACCGAACAAAATGAAACTTAGCTGTTGTCGGGTGTGTGTGCGCTCTGCAGCCGGTGTTTGTACTAATCCACAGACTGTTGGTGAGGTAGAGTGAGAGAAGAATGACTCTGTAATACAACTGTACAATTTCCAACAAAGTGACTTATTTCATCCTACTGGGTCTATTTCAGGAGTCACATTCTCCCAGTTAAACTTTCCTTAATATTAGATATATATATTTTCTGCTTAATCCTTCAATATTTAGATCAATCAGCTTGAGTCAGATGCATATTTAATTAACATTTAGGTAAATGACGGTATCAGATTGGACTCGATATCTGCACATACCCACAATAAAAGGACTTGGATCGGGATCAAATCCAAAAAACTTGATTACGACATCCCTTGATGAAACAGTGTCAGTGAGTGAAAGAAAACTTGTTGTGAGAAGGAGATTAAGCTAGCCACACCTACATTTTGAGTGCACACGTATTCAAGCCTTTATGGTAACTGAAACGGCCCAGAGCGAGCTGACAGGCAGGTTAGCAACTTTATCCTGTCAGTTTGTCTCTTTACAAAGACAAGTGCTGCAGTATGAGTCCTACCTGAAGAGAGGCTGTGAAGTCTTCATGTTACGCCGTACGAGAACCACATACAACATTATTTATCAAACTGGGTCGGACTGGATGAATTTAGTGTGAGGATACACATGTGACAACGTCCAGTTTTCAAAATAAGGCGTCTATACTGGATGGAAATAAGATTAATTGGATTATATTCACAGAAAGTATAAAACATATTACACGTGTTAAATAAAAAAGTAAAAACAACAACAATAAAATGCAGAAAATTACTTATTCTGTTTTCTATTCGTTGATTTAGGGTTGCTGGAAAAACATTAAATATGCTACATTTGTTGACTTTTGTTGCTGTTTTATCACCATTTATAGCTCTACAATGGGTTTTTGATCAAATAGTTTACTAGAGCACAACATTGTTTACAAGAGTCCAAAGTTATTCATGGATAGCCTCTTAATTTTGCACCAAATTAATGCATTTAACGGTCGTCTTACGTGCAAGTGTTCACTCGCACTGACTTTACTTGGTTTAAAACTTGGTAACCTATGACGTTACAATTCGCAGTGTTCACAAATGTTTTGATTGTTTGATAGGCTGCGTCATTAACAAGCCCACAAGCGGCTCACCTGCTGCCGTGATAACGGACCGCGGGTGGAAAAATACGAAAATTTAGGGCGGGGTTTAACAATCACAATGCCTGCTCTACCATCGACCATCTGTTAGCCATCGCCAATGGACGATAGTATCGTCTATCGCCCTAACCCTAACATTCATAACAACACAGTCCCTTGTTTTTGCAGTGCTGTTGTTCAAACACCTGGACATAAATGTGCTTGTTGTTTTGTCCACAGGAGCCCAGTGATAATGGACCACTGTTCTCTGAGCTCAAGTTTTACATGAGAGCTGCTAAGCCTGATCTGAGTAAGCCACTTTATCATTCCTTCTAAACACACACAAACACCTAGAAGTATGTCACTAAGCCAAAGTTAGCCTTGTGATCATAACACAACATAGTCTATCACCACCAGGGCAAACAAATAAAAGAAAGCCAACTTTCTTAATTAAAAAAGACAATCTTGTAGCTGAGGCACGGAGGGGCACTGCAGAGGAAGGGAAGCTTTGGGTGGCAGCGCCATTGGCCCCCAGGCCACAGCTTTGCATTTTCTATAATAACAATTCAAATGTCAGTCTCCCCTGACAATTAACTGTTATATTACTAAGGAACCAAAGGCTCATATTTTATTCATGCTGGAATCTCACGTTGTTGGTAAATATTTGTCCCAGCAGCAGATTAGCTTGCGGCAGTGCTGCCCCCACCCCCCCCACGGAATATACTCTTATTACTTTGAGCATCACAACCATCACCTACATACACTAGCACTGGTTAGCAGTGTTTACAGGAAGTTGTAGTAACCTAACTGCCTGTGATTTACATGATGTGTATTTCATAGATTTAAACACAGTTTCAGGACATTGTGGCCAAAAAAAGTTCTATGACTTTCCTCTTCTCCTGCAGTTCAGAGCTGGATGAAGTCTCACAAGTTGAAAAGTCTGGGAGTTCCCAGGTACTGGGGCTCTGGTCTGCATGAGAGAGACGGGGGAAGGTAAGACTTTGACCACACGGGCCACACTCAATACCCATTCCCACTCACTCTTTTTGGGGAAAGAGTGACTTTTTTTAGTTTTAGGTTTTTGAAGCTAAATTATTATTTCGGTATTTTTTCACATTTTCAGAGTGAGAATTGTCCTTGAGCGAGACTGCAGTTTCTTGTTAAAAACTAAGGGTGTTACCGGGAGTCTCAGTAGGGACCCTTTCCATGATGTTGTCAGACACACCTGGCGTAACAGTCTGAGCCTGTCGGTTGCAAAAATAAGCACTTTTTGTTGGACATAATTTTGAGGGGTGCAATTTGCCAGAAGAAAGATGTTGCAGCTGGTTAACGGCTGCCGGCTGAAGCCTTCTACTGCACGGATTCCAAAAGTTTTTGCACTTACAAGTCATTTCAACACCAAAATATGTGGGGGGGGGGGGGGAGGGCCCAGTTTTAAACATACTGAAATTATTCATTAACGACGTACAAAAACAACAAGTCATCAAACAAGTGCAAATCATAGGAAGGGTGCATATTCTTTAGTGTACAGACAAACAGTTTCAGGGGATGTTATATTTCGTCAAAATATTTAAAACAAAATACAAATCTTTAGGATTTTAAAATCTCCTGGAATTAAAAAAAGGTAAAAGCCAATTTAAAAGTTTGACCTCTTTTGTAAATGCAATAAAATTAGGCCATTTACTGTCTTACCATGAAATTTAGCAATTAAAATGAAAATATTAGTTAGAGAGAGTTAGAGTTGACATCTGATATTTCTGTTATCTTGTAGGGTATAGAACGGTAAATTTACAAAATAATATTAGAATTTCTCCAATATGGCTGATCCATAAATGTTTCACAATAAGGCAGGACCAAGATTTTTTACAAATGGCACAGTGCGTTTCTGTATCTTAGCTGAGTTAACCAGTGCATATGTAAGATGAAATTTAGTTACTTATTAGATTTAGTTGAGACCCAGGCCTTCTTACATATTTAACAAGGAGTTTCAAGGTCTTATGTATGGGTATATATATATATATATATATATATATATATATATATATATATATATATATAATAGACATTGCCAAACATTTTGTTTTTTCTCTGACCCAAAAAATGCCTACATTTGTAAAACCTGAAATAGTTTCAGTCCATCAGAAAGTTCTGCTGTTCTGTACTGCTTTTCGTCTGCATTTGTCTGCTGCTTTTAGCACATTAACAACCAACAATTTAGTAATAGAGCTTGTCTGACATTTCAGAGGTACTAAAGAAGTATCCTTTGTACCTCCCAGGTACAGGTTCATGGTCGTTGACAGGCTTGGCACAGACCTGCAGAAGAAGTTTGAGGAATGTGGAAGGAGGTTCCCCAGGAAACTGGTCCTGCAACTCGGCCTTCGACTGGTTGGTTATTTCATGATCAAATGGTTTCATTTCATTTGCATGTTTTCCACTGAATTGCAGTTAAGTTAAGCAGGAATGTCATGTTTTGAGGGAATGTGTTGCAAACATAGCATGAGGGGGAACTATCAATGTCCTGTTTAATAATAATTGTTTTATTTTGAGGACATTAAATGAAAGGGAATACTAATTTAAAACCTTTTTCTAGCTCAAAAACTCAAAAGTGGGTTATGTTGTGTGTTATGTAATCAGTGAGGCCTAGTCTCACGTAGCAAGCATTGTTTCAGCGTGGTGCCTCTAAGCCCCGTCCCTCTTCTGTGCTTGGACAAGTAGGCTTTCAGGAAGGAGGGATGAAAAGAGGTGCTGAAGGAGTGGACAAAATAAGAAATAAAATGTCTTTTTTGAACATTACAGCATGTGAACATTTTCTAGTAAAAAATGTAAATACAAGTATGAGCCTGAATATGAGGATTTTACGGCACCTTTAACTACTGACCTAACTGAGATGGAACTCGAGGGAAACGCTGCAGAGGGTGCAGTGAGTTTGTAACAAGTTAATTTGTAAGTTATACAGTAACTTTAGTCGTCATCCATTATGTTGATAAGTCCGCAAGTATTTACTTGTTAAGTTAGAAGTTATTTATTCCCATGTTCTGAACAACGTAACACTGTTGATACTGTGTTGAAATAAATGATCATAATGTTCTGTGTCCTTGCTGGTTGTGTCGACACATTCTGAATCATTACCAGTTGTTCTTAACAGGCAGTTCACTGCGTGCCCCTTGCAAATTTGTTACATTATTACGGTTACGGTTTTGTGTTTCTTTGTAGTGTAGCAGTGTTAACAATGTGACTGAAAACATTCTTCCTCAAACCATTTTCTGATGCTCCAAAATATGTATTTAAATAATTAAATTAATATCATAAACATGCGACGACTAGTTACTTGGACTAATGACTACTAGGCGACTAGGAAAATCTATAGTCAGGGGTAGCCCTAGTTGCTACAGTTTTTAACATTAGGACATCGCCCACAGTGTCCAACATTCATGGTGGTTTTGAAGTAATAATCTATTGCAGTCTCAGATCATCCCTAGCTTGGGATCTGACTGCAGGATGATAGGGGTGTTCCTGATCATGCTACAGTCAGATTGTATCTGCATAATGACATCTGGGGTCATTGCATTTTCACATCGTATTAATACCCATTTGTTATCTCTAGTTTAATATGCAAATTAGCTGGGCAGGGATCATCTCCTGAAGTGATGCTGCTGTGTCGGTACAGGAAGAGGCGGAGTGAGGCAACACTTTCTAGGACAGATTTTTTACTAAGACTGTGTCCACACTGTACAGATGTCATTCACACTTGGCTGAGATCTGATCACAATGCAAGTCCCCTCCAAACGTGGTCTCCCATTGTGATTACAGTGTACAATCTGTGCGGCTTAACTGCATTAACGTGTGTTTGCCTCTTTTTCATCACTAATATTAAGAGATATCACTGTTTTCTCCTTGTGTAGCTGGATATTCTGGAGTACATACATGAGCACGAGTATGTGCATGCTGACATTAAGGCATCCAACCTTGTGCTGAGCCACAGTGATCCCAACCAGGTCAGTAGAAGTTAAAGCATCTTATGACTAAAATCATCACATTCTATTTTGGGGGAAATGAAAATGAAACGTGCTTCCACAACCTTAACAGTTTCAGCACTGCGTTTGCTAATATTGGGAAACTAAAGTGCTCCTCTGACCCCAGCACTGCTATTGAAATTAGGGAGATGATTGTGTTTTTGATCATAACACACTTGTGCTGCTTCATTAGATTCACTTAAGGGCTGGAGAGGAGGGAGGGAGGGGGAGGGAGGGTGTGTGTGTTCCAAACGGGGGCCGATTAGATGGCAGCAGCTAAGACATTCTCCTAGCAAACAAGGCAGGGGCAAATATTTAATTTGAAGATTAATAATGTATCATTGGTAGTGTTATTAAAGAGCTATTTATAAATGACAATTTAAAAATCGGCCCCTCTGGATTTTATTATTAGGTACGGTTGGTTCTTTTGTAGCTGTGCTGTGTTTGTTTTCCCCTGGACTTACGGGGATGTAGGTTTGGTTTTATTACTGTGCGTTTCTTTATTAGGGCAGATAACCCACTGTAGTATATAAGCACAATACAGAATAAATAATAAAAATGAGGCTTATGTAGGTGGAATGACAATTTAAATTCTAAAAGGGTGGAATCATCTGCTCCCCATGCTTTCAGTCTTTGTGCTAAGCTAGACTTAACATGTCCCCGACGTCTATCTTGCATGAACACAGAAGAATTTTTTGTTCTCAATTGTACAGTGTGATTCCTGGAACCATTACAGATGTATTTGCGTTCTCGGTCTGTGCATGTCTGAATCGGTGTGTTTGTGAATTGTAGGTTTACTTAGTAGATTATGGCCTGGCATATAGGTACGCACCCGACAGTGTCCTCAAAGAGTACAAGGAAGACCCCAAGAGATGCCATGACGGTACCATCGAGTTCACAAGCATTGACGCCCACAAAGGAGCATGTAGGTACAAACCCACTACTTGTAGTTTTATGACCCCATATACAGCCTTTAAAACCAGGCTGCCAGGTCTTTATTCTCTAAACACTCAGGAGTGACTGTATTTTCCAAACAATACTCCATTAATGGATTTTGTTATAAGTTAGAATCATATTATCTTAGGAAGAATGTGGTCACACAACTGGATAACAATTCCAGTGGTATTGCTGCTATGCTAGTACCTAAAGGTAGCTGCTGAATGTGTGGTTGTCTGGCTCCAGCTGCATCTAGGCGGAGCGACCTGGAGATCCTGTGCTACTGCATGGTTCAGTGGCTGTGTGGACGCCTACCTTGGGAGGACAAGCTGCAGGACCCCCTCTACGTCAGAGACTCTAAACTCAGGTGGGAGAAGCACGCCTGCATTCGCTGCCTCTCTGACAGAGTTCTTTTAGTGAATACACAAGGTTGTCTGCTGAATCCAGGCTGGAAATCATTTGGAATTTGGAATATTCTTTATTATTCCAAGCAGTTTTGCAAGTTTACCTTTCAAGTAGAGGGAGGTGTGTTAAACTGAGAATCTTTTTTACTTTTTTCACCCTTTAGGAGTCAAGAAAACATCTCTGAATTCATGACCAAGTGTTTCTCCCCTCAAGACAAGCCAGGTAAGAAAGAGAGTGAGAGAGAGAGACACACACACACACACACACACACACACACACACACACACACACACACACAGGTGGCAAACAACAAAGGGGTGAGTGTAGACTTTCCATGGGCATTAATAACAATATAAAAACAGAAATAGACTAGTATTACCCATGACTCCTTAGTTTCTCCTGCTGCTTAATGGCCCAGTATTACAGTACTGTTTGTAGCTTCCAGCTGTGTGTGTGTGTCTTTGTTTGTTAAGCCTGTCAGGATAACTACTTTTGTTGGATGATATATTGTCCCAGCAATAAGTGCAGTAAATGATTATTGTCATTGTCACTATTCATTTGCATTGCATTCCATCGATTTCATTTGAACAGAGCAAGGGGCTTGTGTCTGTTGCACTCACTACAGCTCGGTGATTGATCGAATTTTATTGTCAATTACGATTTTGGCTTCCAAAAAAAGATAATTGAGATAAAATTATTATTGTTCTGCATTCCACAATGATGCTTTTGTTTTAACTTGTGGTATAAATCTAGCACACCTCTTTTCATTCCAGTAGCGCCCCTCCCTAAAAGCCCAAACTCTCTCAGCTAGGCTGCAGCATGTTGAGCTCCGCTCGAGCCAACATGACTGGGGGGGCTATAACTGGACGAGGTCCAGGAGGTCACCATTATTAGGTTAAACCTAGCGGAGTTTTCCTCTACGCATAGCTTTAGAAATGACATAATAATTCTACTTATTCATACTTATCTCACTCACTGTTGGTTTAAATCACTGCATCTCCCGACAGAACGCCACAGGTGAATTTCAGCGTTATATAATGTAACGAGTTGTCATCAGCTCGAGTAGTTCACCTGTCTCTCTCCTCAGCTCCACTCTGCCCCCTCGGCAGACCATCCACCCCCCATAACTGTCATTGCTGTCATCCTCTTGCTCTATTATTATATTTTGTTTAAAGTTAATAATGTAGGATTACTATTTCTATTTTCATTTGTTTCTATTTGAGATTTTGGGGTAATGCTTATATAATAATTTTTTAAAAAGTAGTTCAGTGAATGCAAGGTGTTTTCTAAGTCAGTGACTAATCGTGTTAAATGTGATCTCAGTTTTGACCAAAATAATCGTGATTAGGATTTTTGGCATAATCGAGAACCATGTAAAAATAAACAACACACACACACACACACACACACACACACACACACACAAAGTTCTGCAGATTTCTCTTGTCATGACCTCACCTGGTTGTGAATAGAAGACACGTCACAGCAAAGCCCACAATGCATTTCTACACTTTCAGTGTGAAGCAGCAGCAGTATCAGGACCTGTTTGCTTTTTCATTCACTGTAACTTCACAAACCGAAAATTCAATATAAAATAACTATAATGTTCATCACATTTGATTATTTTCTTCTTTTATTTGGAACCAGACAATGTTTAATTTTTGTTATGAGTTTCTCTGTTGAATTTCCGGAATCTTAATCCACAATATAAAGTTTGTTATATCAGTTAAAATATTTTATCGGCCTAGCTACCAAGGTGATTGACATCTTTCATTTACATTCATACATATCTAATAGAGGGTATGCATTGATGTCTCTGTTCAAAGGATAGCATACCCTCTATAGTCCTTTGAACAGAGACCTACTTGGTTCTCATTAGGAGTTTGAAGTCCAATCACACTCACTGCAGCAAAAATTATTAGTGCAGACTGTAACATTAGTTGTCTCTCTGTGGTGAGAGCTGCCATTTTAATGCCGGCACTTTGACCTGAAGGCAGTGTGTCGGCTCAGGCAGAGGAGACGAACACGAAGAGTCACCCCTCCCTCCTTCTGCTCTGCTGAGCACAACCAAACTGTTGTTTACAACTCCGTGTGTGTGTGTGTGTGTGTGTGTGTGTGTGTGTGTGTGTGTCAAGTCTAAGTAAAGTCACACCAAACAGAATTAGACAGGACGCAGTGACCAGAGTAGCACATTATGGTGACAACAAAGTGTTGGAGCAAAGATAGTTAATATAAAGGTATGGGGAAAATACAGCACAACATTTGATATACTGTAGCACAGGGGTTTTCAAAGTCTGAGGCGGCCGCCTCCTGAGTTAACTTGCTTAAAGCTGGGGTAGGCAATGTTGGAGACCTTGCCAGAGACAGCTAGATTTAAATAAAAAAAGGTCTGTCTAAGGTATTTATTAGTTTCTGAGTGAGAAAGTGAGGCTAGCACTAAAATAACTCTGAACTGTCACACACATTTAGGCTATTCTACATTGTAATACAGTCCAGACCAGCCTCCCTTTTATTAACTAATGTAATGTTTTTTCACTTCCATTCACTGAGCTTCCCCTGAAACAGTTTGGGGCCCCCCTGGGGAGGCGCGTCCAGGGCTGTAGCATATAAGAAGATATAACGGACATACCTGAGCTTCATACATTTTCTGGTACTGCTGATACCGGCATAGAGGCTAGTAGGTTCGCAGCAGGCTTTTGGTTAATGATGAAACGCGTTGTTGTGTTGCAGATGAGATCCAGAGGTTCATGGAGGAAGTTAAATCTCTGGGATACCAAGACAAACCACCGTACGACAAGTTACGCTCCATCCTGCAGGCTGGACTGAAGGCCATCCAGGCTAAAGATGACGGCAAACTGGAGTTCACTCCTGTGAGTGGAGCAGTATCAACTCCTGCTAAGGTCAGCACACACACTGAAAAACAACAACTTGAGTGATTCCAGTAATAATATCCTCGATAGGAATGCTCTGCTTCTTCACAAGTACTCAGATTGTTTGTTTCTATAAAAGTAGTCATACCACTGTGTAGAAGGTAAAGTCCTACATTCAGAACATTACATAAGTAAAAAGACACCACTACTGACGAAGTGAAAGTACAGACAATGGTAAAAGGAACCTCCAGAGACTCCCCTCAACTTTACAGAGCTTTATTGTGACTTTCAGCTCATACCACCTTCACTGCAAGTACTGTGAAAGGGTCTAAAGTGCAGTAATGTTCTTAGCCCCGTTGTAAAAACCTTGGTAAGCTTTAATGTTAGAGAATGTTTTTATCTTCTCCCAAATCAAACTAGACATCTGACATATCGAATAGAGTCAGCTGAACTCAGGACTGACTGTTTAACACACTGGTGTTTTCTGCTGGTGTCTTTTGAAATAGCTGGTTGTTAAGGAGCCGTGTACTGAAAGCCATGGGTGCTTTTGTAGGGTTGACTGATAACATAACTAAAATATTATCTTTGTCAGACTTGCACTCTGACTGGCACCCCGGCTCCTAGTCAAATTGCAGCGTTCCGAGCAAGTTATGAACAACTTACTCGCCTTGCTGGTTAAAGCAGTGCTGTGCATTCCGGCAACAAGCGCATCCAACAATAAATAACAATAACAACAATAAAGAACACTGTAAAATCGGTCTGTTTATTTAGCCTACTATTGTGGGCGGGGAAGAAAGAGAGCCCTCCATAGCTTAGTGACGTTCACTGTTTCCATTCTTACTGTTTGTTCAGTGAGAAGTTACAGTACACTAATTAGTCTATATTCAGTTTCAGTATTTTATTTACAGTACAGGCTTATATTTGCCTCTCTCTCTCTCTGTCTCTGTCTCTCTCTCTCTCTCTGTGCATATGGAAGATGCCACCGGGGACATGGCATAGTCAGCCGAAGGGTTACTGGGCCCCGGTGCTGGTTATTGTATGTAATTATCCCGCCAATCTGTTCACCTCAGCAGGCGCCGCTTGGTGATCATGAGGTAGCAATTGTCAAAATGGAGGCAAAAATGGGAAGGGGGAAGGGGGGTGAGTGATAGTTCAGGCTGAGAGTGGAGCTTCATTATAGAGGCCCGGGGAGGAGGAGGAAGGACGGAGGAGTTGATTGCCTTCATTAAGTGCATGACTCTCTCAGAGGCCACTTTTTCTTTCTCTTTCCTCAGCAGACGCTTTGATTTCTGTAGAGAGGACAGAGATAATAAAGTCGTAATTTATGGAAAACTCTTCTCTGTATTAGCAGTGATTCTAAGAAACCTCCATCTTTGTTGATCCCACTGTTTAAATGTGCTTTACGAGCAGAAGTCTGTGTTTCCCACCAGATTACAGTGTAACTGGTGTGGACGGGGGGGGACCACAGCGGGGAATATGTCTATTTCTTATTTCACATTTTTATTCTTAATTCTCAACCTCAATTTAGTATTCACTCACTACTTGAAGCTGCTCACCTTGCTTTTACCTTCAGTTGTCTTTTCCCCACACCTCCACCTCTGGTCTCTTACTGCAAACACACCTGCTTGCCCCGCCCCTTCCTGTTTCTCTCTCCCTGCATGTGTCTGCTCTGCTGTTTTCACAGCAGCAGGTGTGCCGCATGTGGGGGAGACTTGTTAGAGACGTAACCTATCAAAACCAACGTGGTACCTAATGATATCTGCACTGGTGCGTTCACTGTTGCTTTAGCCGGTCTGTGCTTGTAAATATCCAGCATGTCCACATCCACATGAATAATACTAGATAACATCTCTCCCTGTGTTTCTCTGCTAAATGCTAATTTGGTATGCATATAGACTTTCTGTACACTGGAGGTACTGAGAGTCAGAGAGTTTGTTTGGCGCTCTGTGCAGCCCTCCAGACTTGTCACCTTTTGTCAGAAAATTGCTGTTTTTAATCCAAAATAGGTCATTTGTGTGGTACTCGTTTAATATGACTAACGGAGAGTTTTTCTTGCATAGAGGAATTATGGGCGCTCCCCAAAGAGGTTTCCATCGGCGCCAAAATGATAAGAATTGAGAATAAAAATGGCATTTCAAGTCCTCCAAATGTGTTTAATCAGCAATTCATCAACGGGCAGAACCCCTCATGAGTTTGTGTCCTGTTTGCGGTCAGAACAGCAGAGCATGTAACAGAACATTTTGATGGACTCGTGTCAGTGAGGTCTTGGTGGTGGTGAGATGGCAGAGCGTTAATTGCATTTGCTCACATTACACACACAGAAGGCTGGAAGCTCAGAAATGTCAGGTCGCCTCACTGCCAAGTCAAGGCCTCGCCTCCGCGTTCGTCTCTTCATCCCTCCCGCCATCAGACAACGCTGCAGGCCTTAAGAGCTTCCACAAACAAATACTGGCTGGTTTTAGTTAAAAACAAAAATGTCTTCATTTAAAGACATTTGAACAAAGCTGTGTTGTACTTTGCATTTGGCTGTCAGACTCTTTCATGTCCATCAAGACATTTCCTGCTCAGCTACAGTAATAGAAATTGAAAACAAAATGTCAGATTGTTGTTGCAATGTCTTAGAAGTTAGAGAAGGTTTCTATGTAGTCCGAACAAGTGGTGCAGCAACAACTCTCAGCTGGGTAACAAATGTACAGTAACTTCTACACATGTCCGTGTTCACCCACCTTCCAGCTGATCTCCATTCTCTTTAATTTCTCCAGAAGACCACAAAGAGAAAGAAAGCAGCAGATGAAGCCGGAGAGAGTGAGACTGAAGGAAGTCTCATCAAGAAAAAGAGAGTCACAAAGAAAAAAGGTTGGTATAATTTGTCTCTGAACAGATACAGGTTATTTTGTCCATTGGCAATATTTTATTATTTACAGCAACTGCAGGAGTTTTTACAAATCTGTCACATGTTCTCTTCTCTGCCCACTTTGTTGCAGCCTCTGTGATACTAAATCTAAGTTATAGGTACTTAGATTACATCTGCCTTGACTGGGACAACCTTAAAAGGTTTTTATAAAAACATTTAGAACAATGGGGCGTCACGGTGGCCTATGCGTTAAGACACATGCCACGTAAATAGCAATGCCCCAGGTTCTAATCTGACCAGGAACCTTTGATCCATTTCAACCCTGTATCTCTCCTCACATTTCATGTCAGCCTCTAAACTGTCTACTGTCAATTAAAGACAAAAATGAAAGATTGGTGGACACTTGCCTGGACACCATAATGCCCAGGCATGCATTAGTATTTGGGGAGAGGTGGCAGTGGTCTGTCTGTGTCTGGCAGAAATGGGTATGCAGAACACATTTATAAAAAAAACATAAGCTTTATAGTGTGTGTTGTGGCGCAAACAAAAAAACCCTCACACAGTGGTTCTGGTTGCTGAAGAAAGCTTGAGAACAAAAATGCATATGTGTATTTTACAGTAGTGGCTGCAGGCAGTGTATGCCAAGTTGTAGAAGTTAAGACTGATAGAAGTTAAAGACATGAATAATAGAAAACAGTGTCAGATAATTTAATATTGCGGTGATAGTGTCTTTTATAGGGGGAGGCTTTACTGGCCTGCTTAAACATGATGGATTTTCCTCTGCAGAAGTGAATGGAGTGAAGAAAAATACCAAAAAGACTCCAATACCAAGGAAGGCACCCAGCACTGGAAAACAGGGTGACCCCAAATCCAGACTGGTGGAGATGGGCACCCAGACGTCACCCGGACTCGCCCAGAGAACCCGAGGCAGAACCAAGACAACCAACTCTTAGACATCCTCCTCTGTCTACCCCCCCCCTCCTACTTTGTCCTCTCTGCTTCTTAAAAAGTCTACTTTTTTAAGTTTTATATAGTAGGGTTTTCTGTCTGTTATGCACCGATAGATGTTTGTTTGTATTTGGTGTGGTTGAAGCCAAATCATTTGTAATAAAGAGGAAATTAAATTGTCCGTCTTGTGTTTGTAATTAAAGGTTTCAGGGTCAAGGGCCGATGGAAAGAAAACTCGAGTTTATCGAGTTTTACTTTTTCACACTTTTATTCAGTATCACCGTGACACAGGTATCTGGGCTCAACCCGGGTGACTATAACCAATCATTTTAAGAAACACAAGTGTGAGAGGAAGCCATAAAGGCTGGTGGATTAAAAAGTAAAGACACCCATTTCCACAGTAAGGAGTGGCACCCACTTCTTGAAGTGAGTTTGAGAGGTGTCCGGTGTGTTTCATGATATCCCGGTGGGCACTAATTGACAAAGGTTGCTTTCTGAGCATTAAGAATGGTTTTAGGGTTCGTGTTACACTCAGGTTATGGTTAGGCATGTAGTTGGGATGTTCCTGGAGGATGTAGCCATGTCTTAGGCTACTCCAGTGAAGTCACCATATGCTGATGGTCTAAGTAGAGAAATGTCCAAACCTTCATTAAGCTTCTAATGAGTTTTTGTTGAAACTGATGGAGTTGATTCAACTTTGAAGGAAATTGTTTGTGGTGCTGTTGAACGGCATTGCGTTTTGCTTGGCGGGTGTTGAGTGTCATGATAATTTTTTTTCAAGTTGTTGTGAAATTTAGGTCAAATCATCAGTTATATTTCTATCAGAGCCAGACAGGAGAACATTTCGCACACGAGAAGCTGCTGACAAGCTGTCCATTTCCCCTCCATCCACTCTCTAGCTTATGGACAGTCCCCGATGGGACCCTCCACCTCTCTCATTAACTCCCAACAGGCTTCCCTCCTCTCCCTTCCCATGGTGGAAGACATCTCCTCTAATATCAGTGTTGTGAGGGCCTCCGGGGGCCCCTGTGGCGGGTGGTGGCTTGCCATCGATTGTTCCAGCCTCTGCAGGAGTAAAGAGCCCCCCTGCCTGGCTTTCTTCTCCACCTCCCACCACCCCTCCCAGACACTGACCTTGGGGGCGCCACAGCCGCGGTCCCGCAGTAGGGGGCACTAGTACATAATGATAGCAAATGGATGGAGGTGGGTAGGGGGGGCTTGGCTGGAGAGATGGAGGGTGAAAAGGGACAGCACTTAACCACAACACTAGCATCTTTTCTGCTTGCAGAGAGAGGTGTACAATTTCACCGCGGCCGGCCCTTTTCATTTGGCATGGACGTGTTATCCACTGGCCGGCCTGGCAGGCAGGCAGTTGTTGCCCAAGTGTTTGCTGTGGTCGGCCTCCGATAGGCGAGCTGGCGTAGCGTGAAAGCCTCGCAGCGGTGGCCTAACCACCACTCACGATACAGATGCCAGCCCTCCCCTGGCCCACGCGCCAATAACTCTTAACAGTTTCCCCGGCCGGTTTCCTGTGTTTGTGACAATTGTCAGTGTTTTGGTGGGGTGGGCCGGGAGGGGATCCAGTGTGTTCAAACTCAAATGTAAGGTACGGCTGAAGCAGGTTTCGTGCCGGGTCCAGAAGTTCAGGCGTAAGGAAAAGTAGACTTGGAATATTTCCCATTCCAGGCTTTCAGTTTTAGCAAAGTTTTGGATTCATGGATGAATGACAGACTGCAAAGTTGCATCAGTGCGCTGCCATATTTTAATTCTCTGTATAATGGCTGTGAATGTCTAAATACATTTTGCATATTAAACAACATGAGAACCGAGACTACAGGACATAGCTGTAGACTCCAGTCACATGCATGGACTCGGTCTGTAATGACAAATCTGATGACTTTAGACTGACTGGCTCTATTGTGAATCAGTCGAGCAGCAACCAGTCACATTGCAGAAGCAGTGGGGAAACTGGCATGCAAATAAGTAACTTGTTTAGGATTTGAAACACAAAGAAGAAATTTGTCCTACGTCAGGACTTCATAGTCAAGTCTTGAGACTTACTCGTTAATAACCACATCTGGTAGAATACAATGTCTTCAACTGAATGTGCTTACTTTAAGCACATCAAAGCAGAGAGGGTGAGAGGGTTTTCCTCAGTCTTAACCTGGCTTTAAGCAGTCTATTCTAATTGTTTGACTGCTTGTCAACCAATATTCTAGACAGCACCATGCTCATCCCTAGAGTGATTTGTGGACAAAACAGTTTTTAAATCAAACTGAAAAATCACAAAACCTGGAAGTTAACTTCTGGAAACGGTGTAAGACTTTGGGTTTTGAACTGTTAGGAACTGTCAAAGAAAATGTGGCTGTGTGAAGGAGATGTCACAATGCGGCAGTGTGAAGGTTTAACTTGTTGCCATGCGTGTTCTGACGGGGTGTGTTCTACCTTGCAACTCGGCAGCCGTCAAACTGGTATTGTGTCTATGCAGAGTATCTGCAGGTGTGCCGAGAATCTGTGTCCACCAGGATACATTCCAGTTCCTACTTCCTACTTCCCACTCCAGCAGCTGCAGGAAGCTGTTTAACACACCAAAGCTCTGAGTAGCCCTCTGTACACTAGCTGCTCAGCACCAATCAGCAGACAGAGTTAGATACTAGCTGCTAAACTGATGAGAAATGAAACCGTATTAAAATTTCATTTCACAATAAAATGTGCTGAAAATACACACTGAAACTATTTCAGAGTTTTATTGAAAAACACAAATAAAATTAGCAGCACTGTGCACTTCTTGTTTGCATAAACATTCAACAGCCAACATGTCAACATATGAAAATGTGCATTAACATTAAAGATGTTAGAAAGTATATGCAGTGACCCCATGCACAACTTACATAAACACAAAGGAGTCTTAAGAAGACAGTGACAGTAGATGCAGCGAGCCCAACGATTGACAGAAAAACAGCTCTGCAGCTTTTCACCTGACTGCTGGATGTTAAAGTTTGGGTAGGCAATTTATTTCAGAAGCGTTGTCTTTAAATTTGTTGAAATTCTGTTTACACCCGGACAGCACTTAATAAATCAAATGCTGTGACACAAAATGAAATAATAAATAGGGACCAGATGAAATGATTGTTTGGCCTACCTGCCTGCCAGTGTTGGGCAAGTTACTTCCAAAATGTAATACATTATAGATTACTAGTTATGGTCATTTGAGAGTTATTAGCTATATTACAATATTACTGTCTCGGGAATTGTAATGCTTTACACTACTTTTGCGTTACTTTCACTGCTGTTTAATGGGCACATTACAGTAAGATGTGTCTGCGTAGGTGGGTTCTAGTGAGGTGCAGAGTTATATCCGCAGATCGGGTTGGTCTTTGTCATAAAAATGAACCTTCTGATTAATTGCTGGTGGGTGGGGTGAAATAAGATGAATCGTCTCCCCGTTAAGAAAGACGCATTTACACAAGGTGCAGCAGCATAGTGTCATTGATTATTTGCATCTCAGACAGGATCGGTCAGGATGAACTGACAGCAGCCTCTCTGATCATGAAAGTAAATTGTTAAAGAAAACACACAGCCTATAGAAATCTATTTACACACGATCCATCAGGGAAGCTGCCGTCTTGGTAAGAGGAGCCGAGCTCCCCTGTAGTTTGCACCCTGCCTACAATCTCAACCATTGGATTCCTGCAACAGGAAATAACGTTACTCTTTTCCTCACAGAATGTGTATGGTGAATTATTAAATAAAAAATAAAAACACCACTTAATTTTGTGTCAAAGTGCGTTGTAACAGGTAAAATATTACCGAATTTTATTTAGTAATGCGTTACAGCAACAAGCAATACATTACTGTAGTGTAATTGCGTTACTTTTGTAACGCTTTACTCCCAACACTGCTGCAGCGCAGCTCTCAAGCATTCTGTGTTGCTTCCAGATGTTTCTCCTGTTGGTCAACTTTTCTCATTTTATGCTGAGTCAGCACACATGTAGGTGTGATTTAGTCTTCCTCTGTTGTGTATTGTGTGTGGGGAAGTAATCTCTTTAAATGTGCATGTGCAACCTGTTCACCTCAATGATAATTGGATTAATTAAACCCCCTGGACTTTAATAGCTCCTCTGTTTTCTGCTCATGTTCAAAGCTTTCTGCTCATTCAAAATATATCCCACATAACTTTGTTCTCTGACAATTCGACAATAATGTAGTAATATTTTCAGAAAGAGTAATATATCGAGAATAAATTCGTAATTTAACTTAATTTTTATTATTTTTTTAATTGTACCTGCCCTATAGGCCTACTCTGCTGTGCATTAGCCTGCGTTATTTCCCTGCTGATGTGGTAGTGTCCCCTTGAGACTGACAGACACAGAACCTGTTTGGGACTGTACTGGATGAGCCAAAAATATGGGCACCCCTGCATGTTTACTTTCAAACAAAACAGAAGAATGATGAGCTTCACCAGAAAGCTCCATTTTAGTCTCATCTGTCCACTGGACATTTTGGCTTCCTTAGGTTAGATTTGTTTCGGTGTCAGCAGCGGGGTCCTCCTGGGTCTCCCACCACAGCGTGCCTTTTTATTCAGATGGCGACTGATAGTGCGAGCTGACACTGTTGTACCCTGCGTCTGCAGGTCAGACTGAGTTTGCTTGGAAGTTGATCGACATTCTTTATCCACTATTCTAACTATACTTTGTTGCAATATTTCAATAATTGTTCTCTTTCGTCCACGTCCAGGCAGATTGGCTCCGGTGCCATGGACTGTAAACTTCTTCACAATGTTGCGCACAGTGGACACAGGACATTAAGATCTCTGGAGATGGACTTGTTGTCTTGAGATTGTCCCTGCTTTTTTTTTTTGGTTCTCAAATCCTCAGACAACTCTTTTCTGTTCTTTCTGTTGTCCGTGCTCAGTGTGGTGCACACAGACACACAACACAAAGGCTGAGTCAACCTTTCTCCATTTGAACTGGTTAAGTGTGATTTCCATATTGCCAGCACCTGTGAATTGGTGCAGGTGAGTTTAATTACAAATTAAAGAATCATCACATGCTTGAAATACAATTATTTCTGGAGATTTTGAAAAGGTGACAGTAGTAGAAAGTAGAAATACAGAATGCCCAAAAGGGTTCAGGCAGTGCTGGAAAATAACAGTGGCCACACAAAATATTGACACTTGGG